TTACATTGTTTTTTAATCCCTGGGACAAACAAGTGTTGGATACAAGTGTCAACTGGACAAATGATTTACTGACATTAGTAAACAGAGAGAAGCTACTGCATTTAAACGTTGCTGCACTACATTGAACAAACTCACAAGAATACAAGTATAAAACACTCTCTCTCTCTCTCTCTCTTTCTCTCACTATACTGTATATATATTATTAACTATCTCATGAACCATATCTTGCCGAGTATTAGATGAAAATGACAGCAATGACATTAATGCTGAGCACAAAATCTATACACAAAATAACCTAAACTCTTAATATGTAACTTTTCCACTCTATCCACTGTAGAGCTGTTGCAATCACTTCCATCTCTACTGTGCAAATTGATTAAAGGTTCTCCTGTTTACTGAAACTTTCAAGTCTTTTAGACAAAGACGACAAATGCAAAGCAGCAGAAGCGGACAATAAACATCTTTTAAACGCTTCGAGCATTCACAAAGCAGTAAATCTATCCTGTCAATACTAAGTAAGAACTTTAGTCTAAAACGTATACACAGAAACAGAACATGACCAAAAACTGGTCTGTTTTGAATAGTGTTAACTGTAAACCAGGGTAGCAAGAAAAAACATTATTTTAGATAACAATCTGCATGTGCTACATTTATGAGGGAAGATTTGTCATTTAGAGAGGCAGATAGAGGGAATGAACAAGACTATATTACAATAGATATAGTGAGGGACAGTTTGTAATTAAGAATTATCACAATCCTTGAAGGAATCTAGAGTTGGATAAGCAAATACATATTGAAGGGCTGGAGGGTAGCAGGGTGTTGGTATGTGGGGAGGGTTAACAACTGCTAGAAGGAAAACCCTTAATGTGAATAAAATAGGAGGATCAACACCTGTGGGAGATGTTTGGGGGCATGATGAGGAGGGGGGGGGGGGCAGCTTGTGATGAAGAGGAGGCAGAGATGATAAAGAAAGCATATAGTTGTAATAACTTGACTGAGCAAGGGCAAGGACGAGATCAGCTCATTCTGGAATTCTTGGGAGGAGGGTCGACACTGACTCCCCCTCCTCAAACAAAGTGAAGGTTTATATACAAAGTGGGGTCACGTGACCACTGCCTGCACAGGATGTCCCGCTGGGGTGGGTGGAGTGTGTGTGTGTGTGTGTGTGTGTGTGTGTGTGTGTGTGTGTGTGTGTGTGT